TACTTTCCCTTCACCACGTATCTAAACAAATTGTTTGATAGGTATTTCTTAGAAGTTGACGGATGGCAAAGTAGATACAATTTAAGGATAACCACTAACTTCTTTTGAAAAGACCCGTGAGGATCTGGGGAAGAATGGGTCTTCGGCAACCCATGCTTGCCGTAAAAGGCGACCATGCTTGTCGTAAGAAGCGACTGATAGAGTGGTCAGGCTCGCTGACTTAGTTGATACATGTTATCGTATCCTAATTGCGTGGATAGATGCGCATGATGTCAATCACTGTTTACTCTGGTCTGGATTCAATTATTTGCAGACCACCGTCATATAGCTGGAACATTGATGAGTGCGGCGTTAAACAACAAACTAAAAAAATCATTTTTTAAAATAAATACTATTTTTATTTTTTATTAGTAAAGAAGTTGTTATTCATAAATTATCTACTTCGTTTCTGAATTGTAAATGTAAACGTGAACTCGTCTCGTGTCACGTGTCACGTGTGACAATAGTAGAAATCGCTGCCAACATGAAACGTTTCTCCCTACTTCGTCAAAAAGACAGATTCCGCCAGCCCGGTGCCTGCTATTTCCTCCTATTAAAGTGGGATTCTTGGTTATAGTTTCAGTCGCGTGCGTGGGTTTCAACTTTCAAAAGTTACTTAATATACAGGAGGTGGTTATTTCCGCTGATAGATCCATACTTCAATAACGCGTTGTCGTCATTTGGAGGCAAAGGCCGGCGTTTTATTCTTACTTGCGACATTGCTTAAACGTATTTTTTATAACCAATGAGTATGTGCACGTAACCGGTTTGTTTTAGATACAGGAGTGGAGTATTTGGTGGGAAGATGACGTCTTACAAATGCACTGACATCGAGTACTATGTATTACATAGTTTCAATTAAGAATGTGAAATCCAAGACGCCATCGATATATAGGAAATATCTTAGTACAGAAAACTACGTTCATAACGAAAACTTATATAACGAACTTACCGATATAACGAACGTACTTTTTAGTCCCGGCCATTTGCTGTATATATGTTGTATGCTCATACCGAACTACAGTTATTACGAACTAAAATTAGTGGTCCCTTTGAGTCGCGTTATAACCGTAGTTTACGGTATAGGTAGTACATATTTGAAATGATCCATATACTTTAGTGGTCGATATCAGTCTAGTCTATATACTACGTGTCCTCAAATGCTGATGAAGGCATTACAATATACACTGCAGAGATATTCCAGTAATCACGACGGCGTCATTCCAATATACACGACAGTGATATTCCAATATACACCATAGAGGAATCCAAATATACATAAGCAAGGTATTGCAATATACACGATAGGGGCACTATAATATACACGACATCGTTATTCCAATATACACGACATCGTTATTCCAATATACACGACATCGTCATTCCAATATACACGACAGTGATATTCCAGTACACACCATAGAGGTATCCCAATATACATAAGCAAGGTATTGCAATATACACGATAGGGGCACTATAATATACACGACATCGTTATTCCAATATACACGACATCGTCATTCCAATATACACGACATCGTCATTCCAATATACACGACAGTGATATTCCAATATACACCATAGAGGAATCCAAATATACATAAGCAAGGTATTGCAATATACACGATAGGGGCACTATAATATACACGACATCGTTATTCCAATATACACGACATCGTCATTCCAATATACACGACAGTGATATTCCAGTACACACCATAGAGGAATCCCAATATACATAAGCAAGGTATTGCAATATACACGATAGGGGCACTATAATATACACGACATCGTTATTCCAATATACACGACATCGTCATTCCAATATACACGACATCGTCATTCCAATATACACGACAGTGATATTCCAATATACACCATAGAGGAATCCCAATATACATAAGCAAGGTATTGCAATATACACGATAGGGGCACTTTAATATACACGACATCGTCATTCCAATATACACGACATCGTCATTCCAATATACACGACAGTGATATTCCAATATACACGACAGAGGTATTCCAATATACACGACAGAGGTATTCCAATATACACGACAGAGGTAATCCAATATACACGACAGAGGTATTCCAATATACACGACAGAGGTATTCCAATATACACGACAGAGGTATTCCAATATACACGACAGAGGTATTCCAATATACACGACAGAGGTATTCCAATATGCACGACAGAGGTATTCCAATATACACGACAGAGGTATTCCAATATACACGACAGAGGTATTCCAATATGTACGACAGAGGTATTCCAATATACACGACAGAGGTATTCCAATATACACGACAGAGGTATTCCAATATACACGACAGAGTCATTTTGAGAATTACTTGCGATTTACGGGAAATTGCGGATTATCTGTGCCGAATAAAATATTGTCTGTTACGAGCCTTGGTGTTATAATCAATGAATGACGTCATCATCGCGACAATACCGTCAGTATCGTGACGTTACTGTGGGCATCTTAGAAACAATAAAACGATGCAGCAATTGCAACGAACTAGCTAATCATCATGAAGCAAAACAATATAATTCTCGTTGACAATGACATGACAAAATACACGACAGAGGCATTGAAACATACTCGATTCTACTATTATACGACAGTCATTCTCAAACACACTATAATGACATAAAAGGGACAAAACCCTTTTTCATAATCATAAGAAACATATGCAAAAGCGGAGGTCATTCGTAGAGCATCATCAAATCAGGCGATGTTGGTACCATAGTGATTCTTCTCTAGGAACTACTGATACTGGAGATACAGAACATAGAAGAGACTATGCTAATCAATCATTTAGCAATAGATATATCACTACTGCCTGTAACTAATCCAGTATGGATGGGGTAAACCCGTGAGTTAATACATGCACAACGATCCGAGTCATCGGAGCACGATGAAACGCAGTCATAGAGTCATAGAGTGTGACGACCCAATCTATTTTAGTCAACTGGGGACAAATCTAAGACGTATTTGAATTTCAGTGTAAGATCCTGACCATTTCAGTATTTCCGAAATCAGCCGAAGACATCTGCACCCTGTTATGTGTTTAAGGATTTGTAATTGTCATTAAACCTTATCTTGTTTCCGAATGTATTAAACATATTAATGTCAGGTTAAAATCCCACCCTTCTCCGACACTGCTATTGCTGTAGTTTATTGCATTATACATACTACTGAGGGTATTGCTACACCGTGACCTGACACATCTAGCAAACAACTGAACATACAGGTAGTTAAAAGCACAAGGCCATGCTTCTTCAGTGAGTGCGTGAGTGAGTTGGGTTTAACGCCGCATTTAACAGTATTCCAGTTGATGGCTTGTCAGCTTGATGTGGGATGAAAGCCTGAAGTGATGCAGGTCTTAGACGTTTACCACTTCGGTGAAACCCATAAGCACGGGTATGGTGCTGACAAGCCTAGAAACATAGCCGGGGCGAATCGGGATTCGAACCCACAATCACAGGCTTCTGACGGGCCCAAGGGACGCAACTCAGACGACTCGGCCACCCGTGCCCCGCTAGTTTAGAAAACTAATAGCCAATGGCCTTATATATCAATGTTAGTTCATTTTGTGAATTTGTAACAAGTAAGTACAGTACTAAGTATTGACTCCCATCATATTTTACCCATCCCGAGTTTACTTTGAATTTATGTTTGGACGTCTTTGAAACCAAAGTAAACATGCATTCATTCTGAAACTGGTTTATCAAACTAAGGATTTGATCAATTAGGACGAAAATTCATAAAGAAAAACTAAAAACCCAAACACCTACTACGAACAACAGTCTAGAATGTAAACATAATCAATATTAATATTTAATAAACGGACACTTGGGAAATTGATCAGAGTCGTATAACCCAAAAGTAATTCCTTGTTTGTATGTTGTACACAATACTGTATTGAACACCAAATACTTTTTCTAAGAGAGTGTAATTTGTTTGAACTTTAGCATGTTATTACCTATCTCTGAGCGGAATGAATGTGCAGTGGAGGATAATTATCATCTAACCTTTTCCTATACAGAAGGACAGTGTCCTATGTGAAAGAGTTGTACTTGGGGCAGATGCATTATATTAATCACTCATACTGTAGGCTCAGTGACTGACATTCAACTGCATAATGCACCTTCTGTATTCCCTATTCAAAGGAAAATTAATATTCAAAACTTCTACACACACTTAATGTAGATTCTACCATAACAATGTGTGGTAATGTATTAATTTACGTTAGCACGGGATAAACGTACTTTGCAAGAATAATGATAATAATAATAATACGTCTTACGAACAAAACGCATGGCAATCGTTTGTTGACATTCGTTTTCTGAGAGGATATACCAGGGAAGGATGCTTGAGTGAGTGAGTGAGTGAGTGAGTGAGTTGTATTTAGAACTATATGAACAATGGTTTAGTTACACCACGGGTTGTCAGCCTCATGACGGAGTAATGCCAAAACATATCCAGGACGCAGATGTTTACAACTTAACACGGCTCTGATACTGACACCCCGGGGCACATGATCCTAACATCAAATCCTTGTACGACCAAGGGAAGCAAATCTGCCTAGCTTTTAACGACTACTCGCGTCTGTATACTTGCGAATACTCACACACCAAAGACAACCACACGTACACACGCGCCAGAGCTCTAACTGATAACTCAAATAAACAAAATGGGCTCTGCGCAAAATGCCATAGAACTTTAAATAATTCATGATAATTGTGTTATCGAACTCGCGTCAATATTATGAATGTTAAATAGCCTGTGCAACAGGATAAATGGCTTGGACTATGTAACCAGCTAGTATAGAACACATAACACTGGAAGAACAACGTAGTAAGGATTGTAAAGCTATATTGTGAATGACCTCCTGCGTTTCCTGAGCAAGCCTTGTGGTTTTTATCACGCTGGGGAGGCAGGCACGAGACTGGTGCAAATCTTAAGTTGCAGCGGATGTCTTACATGACGTCACTCAAAGGTCTCCACATATGGAAATATGTACTATTTTGTGAATGGGATTGGGAGGATGTGAGCTGCTTTAAGAGTTAATAATTGGAGTATTTTCAACGTTCATTGATACAGCGAGGAAATGCCTCTTCAGGAGAGGATGTAGCGAGGTATAAATGCCAGCCTCGGAGCAGTTATCAAAGAATCAGTCTGTTATACAGCGTGCTCGTCTGGCTCGCGGGTATTTAACGCGTCTCAACATGGATGTCTTGCGTGGTGTAAAACTTGAATATGTACTGTTGTGTCTGTTTGCCCTCGAGGGGGTTCTTGTGAATGGTTTATCACTGGAAACAGATTTGTCCGTGTTGTCAGAGCTGCTGCCTGGCGTGTACAGCAACTCGAAACAGTATGTGGCGGAGGCAGGGGCCCGACCAGCTAAAGGCCACATGTTGATGAAGACCGTCATCCGTCCGGTAGATGTTCCCTTCCTAGGACATTCCTTCAATGTGTTTGTTGAGCAGTACAGCGGGGCAGATAGTGTCCCCTATCGCCAAAGGTTGGAGAGCTTCTCAGTGGATGACGCTCAGCGCGCGATACGTCTGAGAACGTTCAACTTTGCCAATGCCTCGATGATCCCCAGGTTCTCCAGCGACTTGAAGTTGTTGAGGAATCTCAGTGTGTCCGACGTGGTGACACAGAAGGGATGTGATATGTTCTGGAGGAAGTTAAAGAAGAGGACGTTTGTCGGTGCAACCGGACGGGGCTGCCTGGGTAGCGTGAGACGAGAACCGGTGAGTGTCTCCGGGGTAACATACTCCCATTGTCATTTGCACGAGTGAGTGAGTGAGGAGGGGGGGGGGGGGGGGGGGCACCAGAAATGGGTCGAACCGGGGTCTTCAGCGTGACGAGCGAACGCTTTAACCACTAAGCTACCCGACCGCCCCTTATTTACCGCAACACATGCAACACGATATCAGGTTCACTGTATGTGAAGCTCTGGCTTCAACTGTACCAGTACGATGCGCATACAATATGTGTATGTTATAATCATAAAGACGTTCACGTAGCTCCAGTCAGAAACGTTATGTATACCATAGATTATTCCACTCCGAAAACAACCATGCCTTGACAGTTTATGATATCATTTATATGTGTTGATTGTTTAACGCAGCAGTTGGCAATATTCCGGTTATATCAAGGCGGTTTGTCAATAATCTAACCTCGGTCACTAAAACCGGCGGCTGACAGTATGAGCGACTCCCTGACCACTGGAGTTTAGTTGACTTACGTAATGGAGCGCCTGGGACCTATTCTAGCACGGATCTCCACAGGGTTTCCTCACGATTATAAAATGATTCGTGAGTGTGTGCTTTCAATAAATATCTCTCAAAGCACGGAGTATGAACATCTTGGTGGCAGTGTTATCACTGTGAATTTGAGTTCATCAAGTGTTTATCAAACTGTGTTTATTAAACCGGGAGAAAATTTGTAATTCTTAATTATCTAGTTTTAGTTGTATATTTTGAATTTTGTTTGAGTAGAGTTTTTGTCTTTATATATTTATGAACTGCACATCATCTATTGTGACTCGTGAAGATCCGGGGTAGAGTAGGTCTTCAGCAACCCATTCTTGCCCTAAAAGGCGTCTATGCTTTTCGTAAGAGGCGACTATCGTGATCGGATATCATCGTATCTCAATTGCGTGGATCGATGTTCATGATGTTAATCACTCGATTGTCGGGTCCAGACTCAGTTATTTACAGATCGCCGTCATATAGCTGGAATATTGCTGAGTGCGGAGTTAAACAACAAACAAACCAGCATGCCTTGTATCTTAATTGTGCAAAAAGTCTGATAATGTATAAAGATATAAAACCACAATTTAATGTCACTTGTTAACAAAATACTACAGCCATGTGTCAACACAAATGAAGGATACTGAAAGACATAAATCAAAGATGGTATCTGACTGTAAATCACTAAAATAGCCCTATTACTTGCAATCAGAGCGAGCCCCGCCACAAAAACTAACACACACAATCCCCAAGCGTGCCCTTTAGGCAACCCCGAGTGAAGGTCACCGCCAGTGAAAGCCTGGTGAGAGAGATAGGTGGGCCTCGGTTCCGGGAAGTCGGCCCAAAACACACTCTCAACAAAGTGCTGACATGACGCAAAGGTCGTTACCTAACAGAGGAGTGTGACATGGGACGGCCGGCCCGACGGTGTAGACATACTGTATATGGGAGGCCTGTAGAATAATAGCGCTTATTACTGAAATATGTATGGTGAATATTTTCTCGTCCATTAATTCTCTATTATATCCCTGTGTAAAGTATACAAGAAAACATTGATGCAAAGCATCAAAGTTCCCCGCCATATGTGATGCCTCACAAACGCATAATTATGATGTTACTGAAAGGCATTAAGGAGCATAATTAGATTAACCACAAATAACACAACGCTGTTGTGGAAGAAATATTATTTATTTTGAGTATTGGGCAATATACAGTGGATACATTTGCATAGGGAAGGTCTATTTAAAAATAGTTTCTTGTTTAACGCCGCACTCAGCAGTATTTCAGCCATTTGACCGCGGTCTGTAAATAATCCAGTCTGGACCAGATCATCCAGTGATTGACACCAAGAGCATCGAACTAGGCAATTGGAATATGATGTTATGCATCGACCAAATCGGCGAGCCTGACCCACAGGGCCACGGATAGCCATACTATACTGACTGTACTGATTATTGTGTAAAGCATATAACTTGTTCTTATTGTAAATAATTGTAATATCTAAACAGATAAAGTAGAATTTATCTTTAAAAAAACGCATAGAAATTAATTTTATGTTACCACTTCTTAATTGGGTATGGGAGCGGTCGGGTAGCCTAGTGATTAAAGCGTTCGATTCCCGACATGGGTACACAGTGTGAAGCCCATTTCTTGTGTCCCGAGCCGTGATATTGCTGGAATATTGCAAAAAGCAAATTCACTCACTTACTTGTGTATGAACACCGGTGTTCGCTTATCAGTTATCGTTAATACCATTGACATCATACTTGTCAGTCATACATGTATGTTTTTTTGTTTGGTTTCAGGTAAGAATTTCTGTATCAACGACATTAACCTCAAAGATGCTAACCACTCATGAAGGTTGGTACAGGGTCAAGGACGGTACCAAGGTCATGGAGATTGAGGTACCCTTCAACTTAATCAAGGTCAAGAGGATTTCAGGAGCCAGGTATATATGGAGACGCGCATGTGAATCGTTTATCTATACGTCTAGCCGAGCTAATGCCGAGCGACAGGCAGTGTAACAACAAGTACCGTCTTTTAACGTCCTATTGGTCTGACGCGGCCGGGGATCACACCCACGACCTTCCGCTCTTGAGCAGATGTTCTTTCCGCTAGACCACAGAGGCGGTCAGAATGTAATGAAAGAAACTGGCTTTGTTGCAAACATGTGTAGTTGATTAATAGTGGTAAAGAAGGCATTTTGATTCCTTTTGACGTCAAGGCTTGCGTTCAAGGTTAAAGTTGCAACTCATTGTTTATCAACCCACATGGGTAAAATGTGTAAAGCCCATTTCAGTTGTCGCCCGCCGCGATATCGATACTGGGGGAATATTGCTAAAAACGGTGTTAAACCATACTCAGTCACCTCCATTGTTTTTCAGATATATTCCACGTGCAGTCAGTCCCCGTGTGCGCATGTCTAGGCATCTGATACAGAACGATCTGCCCCAGGATCGACCTAACTACATGAGGCGGAAGAACCCCAAGTTCAGCCTGAAGCCCCGGAAGCAAAGGACCTACCTCAGCAGCATCCCCACATCCAACAGCGCATGGACATTGCGCACCTTTCGGTCACTTCTGGATGCCTTGGGTTCCGGTCGAGCAGTGTACTTCATCATGGAGTTGTCGCGGTGTATGCTACCTTCGCAGGCCAAGATTGAGAGAACTTCTTTCGGAGACGCCATAGACGTGTTTGAGCACGTGAAGCAAATGCAGGGGAGACGGAGAGAGTTTATCAAGTTCAGCCAACGAAAGTTTCAACAAAGTGCCAGAGGTATGTGAATCAAATCAATGTTTGTTTGGATGACTGAATAATGATGACCTACTTATTGAGGGGATAAACTAGTTATCAGGCTGACAATCGGGCTTCGATTCCCCGCGTCAGGTTCGGTGGTGGTTCTCGAATAGTGCAAGGAGCGCCGTAAAAGCCTTCTCACCCATTAACTTCACCGAAAGTAGCTGCTCTGCTCTCGTAACAATGATGTTGATAATATCGAATGTTGAATTACATCCGGGAAATCATAACGCATTTAAACACATGAAGAAAAACTATGTTACAATTTGCATGTTTTATCAACTCCTGGGAAATAGTCGCCATGTATGTGAATATAATTGTCTTGACACGGTGATCAATACATATGATTCACATCAGAATTATGTTTTGTGTAATATACTATCTCTGCATCTAAGTCGTAATATAGTTGAATATATTCAGCAGACATATGTTACATGTCTTTTTTTAAGGATACGAAACTGCTGTGAGAGAAATTACAGTTTTCCGCAATGGCAAAGTAATAGTCCGACTCCGTATGACGAAACCAGACAAAGTCCCAGTCACATACGCAGCAAGCTGCAGGCTCTACGATTATGACGCGAGGTAAGTTTTCTCTACTATTTCAATAAGCTGACCTGCTCTGTGTGTGTGTGTGTGTGTGTGTGTGCGTGCGCGTGCGCGCGTGTGTGTGTGTGTGTGTGTGTGTGTGTGCGCGCGCGCGTGCGTGTGGAGCTCCTGGTTAACATATTGGTTGATTGGTTCGTTGTTTAACGCCGCACTCAGCAATATTCCAGCTATATGACGACGGTAAGTAAGCGAGTCTGGACCAGACAATCCAGTGATTGACATCATGAGCAACGATCCACGCAATTGGGATACGATGACATGCATCAACCAGGTCAACGAGCCTGACCACCCGATCCCTTGACCTTTTACGGCAAGCATGGGTTACTGGAGACCTATTCTACCCCGGATCTTCACGGGTCGGTTTACATATTGAGACACGTAGGCATGGATATGCTGGCTTACATATTCAGACACACCAACAGACACGTAGGCATTGCAGTGCTGACTTATGTACACAGACACACTTAAGGACATGTGGGCAGGGAACTTCTGGCTTTTATATTCAGACACACAAACAGACACGTAGGCATTGCAGTGCTGACTTATGTACACAGACACACTTAAGGACATGTGGGCAGGGAACTTCTGGCTTTTATATTCAGACACACAAACAGACACGTAGGCATTGCAGTGCTGACTTATGTACACAGACACACTTAAGGACATGTGGGCAGGGAACTTCTGGCTTTTATATTCAGACACACCAACAGACACGTAGGCATTGCAGTGCTGACTTATGTACACAGACACACTTAAGGACATGTGGACAGGGAACTTCTGGCTTTTATATTCAAACACACAAACAGACACGTAGGCATTGCAGTGCTGACTTATGTACACAGACACACTTAAGGACATGTGGACAGGGAACTTCTGGCTTTTATATTCAGACACACCAACAGACACGTAGCCATGGAGCCCGTAGCCAAACATTCCGGCAGTCAACACATCTCTACAGGCAAGGCCCAGCTGTGGTCAAGCTGTCCAGCAATAACGTGACTGTTCACGACTTAGTTCAGACTTGACTTGTTCAGAAATGAATTGCAAGTGATCCCGTGGCACTTGATGGGTTAATTAGCACATCTTTTAATGTGTTTATGTTTTCATAAAACAAAAACAAGACAGCTTGTGTTGCATTATTGCGCTGAACGAAGTCATTTTGTTGTCTACAGATGTGTTGGGTTGTTTATGATTCAAAAGGAAGTCAGTGAAGTTTTTATTGTTGACGTATACTACGCGGTTTTAATTGTTTTAATCCGGTCAGTATTTCATGGGACGAGTGAGGGTTTTATCGCTGGTTTGAACAGTATTCCAGTTATATCACTGTGTGTCACCTGAATGTGGGAGGAAATGGATGTAGGTCTCAGGCGTCTACCACGAAGGTGAAACCCACAATCACGGACATAGTGCTGACAAACCTAGATTCATAAAGGGGCCAAACCGGGATTCGAACCCAAACTCATAGGTGTCTTGCGTGCACGGCAACTTGCGGCGCCTTAGACAACTGGGCCACCCGTTGCCTCTCTTGGTCTATATAAATAGTTATAATGGTTGAATACCCGTCAAGTCACATACACTTCTAACACAGCCTCCACAAGCTTGTGCCTCAGCTAACACAGACCAATGTCAGTTCAAGTTGATTTCACTAAAGATCTATATATTCTTTATACTCCAAACACAGGTAACACTTGTCACTCTCACGTACTTGTTACATGGCATTACACAAATATAAATCCTTACGGCGTAATGTTATGACTTGTCAATATGTACGAATGTACACTGACGTGTCTATTGCCTGACTCGCGAGTATGCACAGCCCTACATTGCCGTGTCACCATGCAACCGAGAAACTACATCCAACATTATCCACCACTCAGCACGGCACATAATGACATGCATCATCTTCATCACTAACTGTTGAGCGTGATTCATTAGTACTGTGGTGTGAAACGTACATTCTGGTCGGGCTTTAAGTGGCTTCCGCCGCAGCCAAGTGCTACATCCGCCATAATCAGGGATCTGGCATATTAAGATGCTTTGACCTTTCTAAAAAATATGCTGAGCTTATAAGTAGGCCTCACTTCCTTTCGAATGTTGTGTCACTGACATTACTCAGGTAAATTAACTGAAAGTTTATATAAATATTATTCCTTACCAGAAAGAAAGACATCCTGCATGAAGCCACGTGAGTACACGGAAGCCGCACCGGCTACATGCAAATCACTCGGATACCTACCGAAGGCGCCATGCCACGTGTCTACAGACCGTCGTGTTATAGCTTGGATGTCGCTAACCGCGGAGTTAAACATCAAACAAACAAACATTTACCTATCTACGAAAACTTACAACTTTATGGATAGCATCTTCTGGTTTACTACATTATCAAGACGTGACATAGGTTTTCTTAGTTACAGAAATGCCTATCAAACAGTTAGTAAGAAGTCTTCGTGGAGACGTGACATCAATACCATTAGCACCCTCACCCGACTTGACGCTTATGTAATAAACAAGAAGTTGTGATCCATATAGTTGTACGTTTTCTGATTCACTCACCAACTTCTAGAATGCCAATCAAACAGTTAGATACCTGTGTCGACGAGGGACGTGGTGTATCTGGAAACTCGGCAGTTGGTCACCCTGACATGGTCACACTGGTGTCTTTGAATTCGGGGACTAATTGCGTTTGTAGTTTTAAGACTTTTGGATTAGATATGCATGCTTTGTTGAAAGCTATTCAGTTTATCTTTTATTGCATTGACAGTTCTGGAGATGTGAAATTCTCAACGGATCCTTTCAAAAACGTGAGGAGAATCAAGACTTTTGGCTTTCTGAGGTCATCATTGAAGAAAGGTCGACGAGTACGGATGACTGTGGATTTTTCGAAATGTTCCGGAAACAGCCCGAATACAATGACGGAAATTGGCGGCGAAATACGAGGTATGTAGTGAAACAGCTAATTCAGTTGCAATACATGTTGTGACTCACAGTTGATGGAGAAATGCATAATCATCATTATTATGTACATCATTTCATATTTAACTCAAAATATCACAATGACAATGGCTTTTCGGGCTATGTCAGCATAGGCCACTACATATGGAGGTGATTATATCTCGTTATCTCTGTATGATGAATTATGATAGGAAGTAAAGATTATCTGTCCATCCCATAATTGTCTCAACTGACATGACCTTTCTTTGTTGTTGCTCAGGCTACGACTTCATCAATTCCGGAAAAGGGATTGAATTTTCATTGGCAAGACCAGAGCTGGACTTGTCACGCGACGGAGTATCGCAGCGCTTCCTGCTTGGTCGTGTTTTACACAACGGTGACGTCATATTTACAGACATCGGTGACGAACATTCAAATTCCTTCCACCAAAATGAACATCACTTCAAGTGTTCCCTGAGAGGCAGCGAATCGGTAGAAAAACCTGGCGAGAAATCAGTGAAAATGTATTACCTGTGAAATGATTCCGTATAGTACTGTGTATCACCCCCTCACGTTAATCGATGTGTGAAGATGTTGAGAATAGTGACAGCTTTGTAAATATCATTGATATGTGATACTTTATTCAAATACCTGAATGCTACATGTTACATCACTTGTCTTTTTTACTTAAATCACACTTTTTTGTCCAGTGAAACAATGTTGCTGAAAAGCAAAAATATTTTAAGGTCTTTTTAACATGTTTATGAATGTTTGGTATGTAAATGATTTATCGGATATTTAAATGGTTATGAAGTTTATAATTACGTTGTATATCTTGCTACTGTAAATACCCAATGTGTATATACCGACAACTCTCTGTATAGCGAGCGTAAGTGGTCTCATATTATTAATTTAATTTTGTGATCAGGAAGTTGTGATCATTTGTCCTGAAATGTAAATAAATATCTGAACGCTATCGACAACATAATACATGCTGTTTTTCCTATATTTCGTTATGGAGCTGATGTCGTTGAGCTGCAGTTAATGTGCTGTGTATTGATGGTGAGAAATCCCTCTAAAAATGTATTTAATAAAAAAATTCTCATCACGAAAACACATCATTTCTGCCATTCGTTTTGAGAAATGCGTATGACAGACCCACTCATATAATAATGAATATATAAATATATATATATATATATATATATCCTTATACCGGACACAATGAGTCCTGGGATATTATCACATTAGTTATGTGTTCGGTGTATATATCCATAAACACACACGCACGCACGCACGCACGCACGCACGCACGCACGCACGCACGCACACACACACACCACAGACTCACACACACACACACACTCACACACACACGCACGCACGCACGCACGCACACACACACACACACACACACACCACACAGACATGTGATAATGGATGCGAAACATAACTCGCAGGAAACCCTCTTTGCGCGTGGTTCACTATTCTCTAAACGCTTCGCCCTATAAGCCCTCACAACGCAGAGCAAGCCAAAGACGGAAGGTGTGAGAGTAAATATGTTGTCCCTGAACATGTATTCTGGGGAAACGATAAACCAGGAGTCCGGAACAATTTGGCTAATCAAGGAATATTTTTCCCAACTCTTTCCACGGCAAGGTGTCCCTGAACACAGATGTGTAGACACTCAACGATTCAAAATAATTTAAGTATATTTGTGTATAGTTAAATATCACTTTCGACAATCAGAACTTGGGTCTCAATGCCTTGTTGGGTGCACATGATAAACTATTGAAGCACCGTAAAATATCCCCCTCATTCCGATCCAGGAATTAAAGACATTGTGTTTTGTCGTGTGTGACCGGGGAAAAAGGTATTCTTAATCCGTCAGGAACTATTGTCCAAGGGAAAAGACAACTGTCCCATGCTTATATACATTGTTTCCCCGGGTATAAAGCGCCCTTGCTATTGAACACGAGTAATAAATATCATGGGAACGCTGCCGGCTGATAATGCGATCGTAGGGCTGTGGCATCTACGACACCGGGCACATTTCATCAACACTTTCTTAGATGTGAACCTTCATCCCTTAGTACACACTGACCATTCCCACTGGTCGACATGGAGGAGCACACGTGCAGGTGTAGTGTGGTTGCTGGCAGACAGTATGTGCACACACGTGTACATCAATCAGATACTAAGCTTGTAAATGTATTAGCCTCTGTCTTATCAACAACTTATCTGTATTTGAATGTCATTCAGAGAGACACGTATGAGAGAAATAATTTATGGATGTCAAATTCTTTATTATGAGGAACACAACGTTTCGAGGTATATGCTTACTCCTTCATCGGGTGAATGAAGGATAGGACCCATATGTACATGTACATATATCTGCTGTCTGCATTCCAGCATTTATTCAGCGGTATCTCCTTCAAAACATTCCATAAATTATCCGTCTTCTTCTGTATCACAGCCCAACCGTATCACAACTCAATTTTATCACAACTCAACCGTATCACAACTTAACCGTATCACAACTTAACCGTATCACAACTCAACTGTATCACAACTCAACCGTTTTACAACTTAACCGTATCACAACTTAACCGTATCACAACTTAACCGTATCACAACTTAACCGTATCACAACTCAACTGTATCACAACTCAACTGTATCACAACTCAACCGTATCACAACTCAACTGTATCACAACTCAACCGTATCACAACTCAACTGTATCACAACTCAACTGTATCACAACTCAACTGTATCACAACTCAACTGTATCACAACTCAACTGTATCACAACTTAACCGTATCACAACTCAACTGTATCACAACTTAACCGTATTACAACTCAACAGTATCACAACTTAACCGTTTTACAACTTAACCGTATCACAACTTAACCGTATCACAACTCAACCGTATCACAACTCAACTGTATCACAACTCAACTGTATCACAACTTAACCGTATCACAACTCAACTGTATCACAACTCAACTGTATCACAACTCAACCGTATCACAACTCAACTGTATCACAACTCAACCGTATCACAACTCAACTGTATCACAACTCAACTGTATCACAACTCAACTGTATCACAACTCAACTGTATCACAACTTAACCGTATCACAACTCAACTGTATCACAACTTAACCGTATTACAACTCAACAGTATCACAACTTAACCGTTTTACAACTTAACCGTATCACAACTTAACCGTATCACAACTTAACCGTATCACAACTCAACTGTATCACAACTCATCTCCGTCACAACACACCCGTATCAAACGCATCTGTATCATACATAACATTGGCAACAGAAAATAGAATAGATACAAAATACTCCAGGCAATTACCAGCACATATATACTGAAAGACATATGGTCATGTAAGGAAAATAAGCCAAGTATTTGACCTGGTGACTTCCCGCTTCCCATTTGTCGTTGTATAAGACGCAGCTTCAGACCTTTAATGTTCATGTGAGCTGACTAAAGCTGAAGCAGCCCTGTTTTAGGCGACGCCTGGGTTAATGTTCAGACCAAAATAGTTCTGCAGTGACAAATGAGGCAGTGGAGAAAGTTCTTGATGACCGTTTTCGTTTCGAAATGCCAATACATGTACATAGACTCTAAACATAAAGTTTACTGTATACCACATGTCCATATATGTACAAACCCCATCTCTGTATAGTCCGATAGCTAGCTGTGGCATTTGTTAGCTTGTAAGACTTGTATGGTAAACATGTATGTACACAAGCGGTCACTGGACCTTGTGATTCATGAGCGATGGCTGGAAAGTTCACCTTAAGAGCAACAATGGTGTCCAGATGCAGGTGGCCTGTATGGTTGGCTGATGCTGACATACAGGCAGACTACCTGGGACGCACTGGCGACCTTCAGGATGTTGTGAACAGTCAGATTCCATCACGCGTGAGTACCCTCAGCCGTGTGTAACCAGTGAGGGGACTGGCGTGTTGCTGAAAAACACATGTATGATGGAAGAGTAACCAGCGACGCTCAGTCTTAGGTGTAATCCATTATAGAAAAGGGCAGCGACCTTCGAACCGAGCCGCACTCATGATCGTCGCCATCATCATCATCATCGTCGTCATCATCATCATCATCATCATCATCATCATCATCATCATCATCATCATCATCATCGTCGTCGTCGTTATCCTTTTTGTAGGGGTTCTTTTTAATATACACATGCATGTAAGCATGCTGTTACACAAAACATGTTTAAATCATGTATTTTTAGTAGAAAACGACAGATCAAAATAAAATACGCAGAAACATGCACGGATATTTCTAAGGCCGTATTTGCATGTTTCGGTGGTCACAGATATGCTCGGCAAACAAACTGTGGCTATGTGCAATAACATGTAGTGATAACAGGGTCGCCTGTGTCTCTGGTCAGTTGTGTTTGCTTGACCGGTCAGCATTGTAGCCATATCTCAGAGCCTGTTTACCCAGGGGTCAGGCGCATGGACAAGGATTAAGGTCACGTACCTTTTATTCCTTGTGTTATATACTCAGTATCCCCAAAATAATGCATGCAAATAGATGTTATAGATGGTTATATGTGTTGGTAGCTGGTGGAATTAGGGTAGTTATATGTGTTGGTAGTTAGTGGAATTAGGGTAGTTATATGTGTAGTTTGTGGAATTAGGGTAGATATATGAGTTGGTAGTTAGTGGAATTAGGGTAGTTATATGTGTTGGTAGTTAGTGGAATTAGGGTAGTTATATGTGTTGGTAGTTAGTGGAATTAGGGTAGTTATATGTGTTGGTAGTGGAATTAGGGTAGTTATATGCGTAATTATTGGGTGGTGGAGGTAGACAGTGAGGGTGTCACAAAAGTTATGGAGAGGTGGAGGAGTTATAGAGACTGGAGGAGTTATAGAGAGGTGGAGGCGATATGGACAGGTGGGGGAGTTGTGGAGGTGTGGAGAAGTTATGGAGAGTTGGAGGAGATATAGAGAGGTGGAGGTGTTATGGAGAGATGGAGGAAATATAGAGAGGTGGGGGAATTGTTGAGAGGCGGAGGAAATATAGAGAGGTAGAGGCGATATGGAGAGGTAGAGGTGTTATAGAGAGTGGAGGAGTTATTGAGGTGTTGAAAAGTTATTGACAGGTGGAGGAGTTATGGAGAGTTGGAGCAGATATAGAGAGGTGGAGAAGATATAGGGAGGATGAGGAGATATAGAGAGGTAGAGGCGATATGGAGAGGTGGAGGTGTTATAGAGAGTGGAGGAGTTATTGAGGTGTTGAGAAGTTATGGACAGGTGGAGGAGTTATGGAGAGTTGGAGGAGATATAGAGAGGTGGAGAAGATATAGGGAGGTGGAGGAGATTTAGAGAGGTAGAGGCGATATGGAGAGGTGGAGGTGTTATAGAGAGTGGAGGAGTTATTGAGGTGTTGAGAAGTTATGGACAGGTGGAGGAGTTATGGAGAGTTGGAGGAGATATAGAGAGGTGGAGAAGATATAGGGAGGTGGAGGAGATATAGAGAGGTAGAGGCGATATGGAGAGGTGGAGGTGTTATAGAGAGTGGAGGAGTTATTGAGGTGTTGAGAAGTTATGGACAGGTGGAGGAGTTATGGAGAGTTGGAGGAGATATAGAGAGGTGGAGAAGATATAGGGAGGTGGAGGAGATATAGAGAGGTGGGAGGTGTCATAGAGAGATGGAGGCGCAATGGGTTGTTATAGAAATGTCTCTTTACAAAGTGTTGGTCAAAGTCGCGTTCTCTTGATGATGCAGGGCGCGGGTTCTGTCTTCCATGGGGCAATACACCCGGCATCCTATTAGCCGACAACACTACGTTGTCGAGCAGCTCCCCTGACGGACTGCGGTGTCTGCTCAATGTTATATACATATATGCCATTTCATCTAAAATATAATGCAAGTAAAAGTGCCTTTCTACTGTTTGGGAACAGGTGTGTCAGCACGTTTATATTGGTACCTCTCAGTATGTTAGTCAAAATCAATTCTCTAAATCCTATCACAGGCGTTCGTATATGGGAAAGGGTGATACTACCATGTGGAATATCTGCTTGTAATGAATGGTGTAAATTGTCATCTAAGGTATATGACATGTTTGAAATTATTTAAAGCTCATTTGTGAAAAAAGAGTCAAGGATTGTCCAGACGCACTTCGTTCGTTGTCACCAGAGATTGTCTTGGGTGAATCTTTCTTCAGACGTACATTGATCAACGACCTCTTATTCCTTGGACGACTATGCAATTGTGACATTAACTTTGTATTTAAACGACTATTACAGCACATACCTGTTCAGTATCAATTCTATGCAATTAAGAACGAGATGATAAATATCACCATTATATCACATGTTATCACCAGTAAATAGTTCGAACCTAAAAATGATATAGATATCTATTCTACCTCTTCTCTATGTCCCGACAGACAAGCATGGGCGGTCCTGTTGAAGGGGCAAATAAGCGTATTTGACCGTAACGTAATTCCCACAGAGATTCATTCAATAGAAAACCTAAACAGATACTCTCTTATACCCTCACCTTAGGTACACAGGTCAATGTTAATGACAATTGAAAAACCGGATCATTTCAATGAATAAACTTATCTATTATGTCTTACTATTTATACTGAACAATCTGATAAATGTTTATAAGAAACATTTGCATATGATAGAATAAAACATGTATTTATGTATTGTAAGAAGACGCATAAAGAGAAGATGATCGTGTTGAGTATAATATTGATTTACGAGGTGTAAATATTGAACACAATTTATGGATTAATATAATGCTTCTTATATGTAAAACAGTGAAAATGTGAAAAACCTTTGTCAGTAGCCATGTATGATAAGAATGTGACATTTCTTGTACAATGAATATAACCACTGTTATATGACTGTAAAATACCGTAATGTTTATGATAAGATTATCTATCTGTCTGTATGTCTGTCTGTCTGTCTGTCTGTCTTCGGGTTTTCCTCACATATCTAGTATTGCTCACAATCGCGTTAAATCGTCCACTCATACACTTTACTAGAAAGTTAGACGAACAATCAACGAGTCTGATCAAACTGATTGACAGATACAAGACGTTACCTAACATGCAACGGGTAGCGATATGGAAGCGTCAACAACGGGGGCTGGACAAAGCCCATGATGTGACCGTGACCTTCATGGGGGGGGGGGGGGGTCGGGGGACGCTCCACGACAGACGAGTCCAAGCGGTCAGACCAGTCAGAGATAAGCATGTTGTTGACACCTAGGGATATCTTCAAGACACACTGCACTTCTCCTGTTGATGTGGACCAAATAACACCATTACTTTGTGTAACAACTGATTTCGCTTGGTGCAATGCAGGGAGATGACTTACGTCCATGGGACTTACGATTCTCATAGAAAGCTGAAAGGTGAATAACATTTGACTGCATAGCTTTCTATACAGAAGGCGTAAACGGAATAGCCTTTCAAAGGAAAGGATTTAATTGACTGTTTAAGTGACACTGTTTTTAATTATTTCTTCGTGTGGCTCTTTATGTCATCAATGCTGAAATGAATACGCACGTGGCAGGCATCGTCGCTGTGACCCTCCTCCTCGGTGTTGCAACATCGTCCACGAACAACACCATTATGTATACGCCCTGGTCAATGGGAGACATTTACCTTAATTCAACAGACAATACAACAACGGATTTCATGATTTCTGTGATTTCACCCTCAGTTGAAATGTTCATGGACGCCAGCGCCGTTGTCAACGTGTCCTACTCCATCCTCTGCGACACACCCGACACAGTTTACAATCTCAGTGTCTACACGACGGAGGATAAGGTGGCGTTCCTGACACAGCCTGGCGACGTCAGCATGTCGTGTAGCAATGTATCCAATTTGGCAAGTCGGGCATTCAAAAAGCCAACCCGTGTTTCAGGAACACTCAGCATCAACTTACACTCGGATCTCATAGGAAGAACGTGGCTTGTCTTTAAAACGGATCACGAAAGGTCCACACCACAAGAAACACAGCCAGACACGGATACAATGGCAGGCCAACCAGGTGACCACTTCCAGAGATACATGATCGTGGTAGTACGGAACTACCGGCCTATCGATACCGTGTTTCGTGTTGTCATGTACTTGTTTGTGATCGCCAGCACTATAGGAATGGGATGTAAGATCGAGCTGAGCGTAGTCAAGTCGGTGCTGCTCAAACCCGTGGCTCCTGCAATTGGCTTCTTCTGCCAGTATCTCGCCATGCCGCTGGTAAGTCTCACACCTACACACACAGTCGCGCATTCACAAGCACGTACATGCACATGAACATGTCCGCGTCTGGCTGTTTGTGTGTCACCGTGCCCCGAAAGCGTGGGTCGTTATTCATAGTGTCACACCAAGGGTTTGCAAGCCCAGATTCAATTATTTACTGACGGACGAGGTATCCTTGGAATAATTACTGGGGGGAAAGGCAACATGTACTCATTCACCCATGAACAACATGCACTCATTCAGCCCTGAACAACATGCACTCATTCACCCATAAACAACATGCACTCATTCAATCATAAAAAACATGCACTCATTCACCCATCAACAACAACATGCACTCGTTCACCCAGGAACAACATGCACTCATTCACCCAGGAACAACATGCACTCATTCACTCATAAACAACATGCACTCATTCACCCAGGAACAACATGCACTCATTCACCCAGGAACATCATGCACTCGTTCACCCTTGAGCAACATGCACTCATTCACCCTTGAGCAACATGCACTCATTCACTCATAAACCACATGCACTCGTTCACCCAGGAACAACAACATGCACTCGTTCACCCAGGAACAACATGCACTCATTCACCCAGGAACATCATGCACTCGTTCACCCTTGAACAACATGAACTCATTCACCCTTGAGCAACATGCACTCATTCACCCATAAACAACATGCACTCATTCACCCATAAACAACATGCACTCATTCACCCATGAACAACATGAACTCATTCACCCATCAACAACATGCACGCATTAACCCTTGAGCAACATGCACTCATTCACCCATAAACAACATGCACTCGTTCACCCTTGAACAACATGCACTCATTCACCAATAAACAACATGCACTTATTCACCCTTGAACAACATGCAGGCATTCACTCATAAGCAACATGCACTCATTCACCCATAAACAACATGCACTCATTCACCCATGAACAACATGCACTCATTCACCCATCAACAACATGCACTCATTCACCCATCAAAAACATGCACTCATTCACCAATAAACAACATGCACGCATTCACCCATAAACAACATGCACTCATTCACCCATCAACAACATGCACTCATTCACCCAGGAATAACATGCACGCATTCACCCATCAACAACATGCACTCATTCACCAATAAACAACATGCACTCATTCACCCATAAACAACATGCACGCATTCACTCATAAGCAACATGCACTCATTCACCCATAAACAACATGCACTCATTCACCCATGAACAACATGCACTCATTCACCCATGAACAACATGAACTCATTCACCCATCAACAACATGCACGCATTAACCCTTGAGCAACATGCACTCATTCACCCATAAACAGCATTCACTCATTCACCCATGAACAACATGCACTCATTCACCCATGAACATCATGCACTCGTTCACCCTTGAGCAACATGCACTCATTCACCCTTGAGCAACATGCACTCATTCACTCATAAACCACATGCACTCGTTCACCCAGGAACAACAACATGCACTCATTCACCCATGAACAACATGAACTCATTCACCCATCAACAACATGCACGCATTAACCCTTGAGCAACATGCACTCATTCACCCATAAACAGCATTCACTCATTCACCCATGAACAACATGCACTCATTCACCCATGAACAACATACACTCATTCATTCATAAACAACATGCACTGATTCAATCATAAACAACATGCACTTATTCACCCATGAACAACATGCACTCATTCACCCATGAACAACATGCACTCGTTCATCCTTGAACAACATGTACTCATTCACTCATAAACAACATGCGCTCGTTCATCCTTGAACAACATGTACTCATTCACTCATAAGCAACATGCACTCATTCACCCATAAACAACATGCACTCATTCACCCATGAACAACATGCACTCGTTCATCCTTGAAGAACATGTACTCATTCACTCATAAACAACATGCACTCATTCACCCATGAAAAACAACATGTACTCATTCACCCATGAAAAACAACATGCACTCGTTCACCCTTGAACAACATGAACTCATTCACCCATAAACAACATTCACTCATTCACCCATAAACAGCATGTACTCATTCACCCATGAACAACATGCACTCATTCACTCATAAACAACATGCACTCATTCACTCATAAACAACATGCACTCATTCACTCATAAACAACATGTACTCATTCACCCATAAACAACATGTACTCATTTACTTACACTACAACAAGGGAGTGAGGATGGTTTTACGCCGCTTATTGCAATATTACAGCACTATCACTGCGGGGGACACCACCAAATATCTTCCCCCATTGTATCTACTTGGAGAAGCGAGCCCGGGCCTTCAGTGTGACGAGCGACCTGTGAACGTCCGGGTGAGAATAAGTCGTCAGCAACCCATGCTTGCCGTGAGAGGCGACTACCGGGATCGGGGGGTCAGGCTCGCTGACTTGGTTGATGCATGTCATCGTATCCCAATTGTGTAGATCTATGTTCATGCTGTCAATCACTGAAATGTCTGTCCAAGACAGATTATTGACAGACCGCCATCATATAGCGGAAATATTGCCTAGTGCGGCGTTAAACAACAAACAAAAGACGAGCGAACGCTTTAACCCCTTGGCTACCTCATCGCCCCCATTCACTTGAGAACAACATCATGCACGTATTAACTTATGCGAAGAGCATTCCAAGCGTAGACTGGAAGTCCGCGTTTTCTCTCTGGACAGTTCTTTGCTATTTATCTACTAAACGCTCACACACGTTCGTACACCAGGCAACACATGCATATTCATGGCAGTCTCTGATATTTCTTCTTTCAGATTGCCTATGGTGTGGCGAAGCTTGTGACTTTCGAGATCCCTGCCGTGGGGCTGGGGATATTTGCCTGTGGGATCTGCCCGGGGGGAGGGGCTAGCAACATCTACTCCTATCTCCTGGGCGGGGACCTGTCGCTGTCTGCTACCATGACAACCATCAGTAACATAGGAGCGCTAGGTAAAAATGCCATACAACTGACATCCCTTAACCTTGGAAATGTCTTTAACACAGTTATTGGCGCAAACATATGTGCTTTAAATTTACAAGGTGCCTCCAGAATCGCAATTGAGTATTCCTGCGCGTAGAGATACGTTAACGCCATAATCAATACCACAAGCCTTTGCATGTTATAGTCTTATGAAAGACAAAATGGAATCATTCATGCACGTGTGTGTGTGTGTGTGTGTGTGTTCTAGCCCGGGCTGATGCCGATTTATAGTGCCAGCTCACTAAGATACCATGCTGCAGTTTAACATGAATTATTGAATACCCCACTTAGACACAGTATACTGACTCCGAACCGACCAGTCCTTGTTTTAGCCCCTCATGCGCCGGACAGGGTAACAACAAGTACCATTTTTTAATGTTTTTTGGTAAGAGATCGAACCCCAGACCTACCGCTCTCCGGGCGGACGCTATACCACTAGACCACGGAGGCGGTCTGTCACAGTACTTAAGGTTAATCGATATATAGACAATGAACATATCACTGGATTCTCCATAATTCGTTATTGATGATGGTGTTCATGTTTGATAGTTAATTTAGATTTGATGTCGAGGGAAAGATTTGAGGAAATACGATTTGATAAAACACGATTTTGTTACGTTTATATGAACTGACCGAGGCGTTCTTAAAATACTTCCTCTAAGCAGTCTTCTGAAAACCAACACAGTATTTGCATGTTTGTCTGAAGATGTTTGACCTTTGCCCCCAGGTATGGTTCCTCTGTGGATGTTCACGCTGGGTCAGCAGTTTCACGATGACAAGATGCAGATCAACATCCCGTACGCCAACATCATCCAGACCCTGGCATCTGTCATCCTGCCGATCTTCGCTGGCATCCTCATAAAGTACAAGTTTCAGAAGCTCGCGGCTGTCATCGTCAAAATCCTCAAGCCGGTCACGTTGATCACGATCGTTATCCTGCTCACCTTCGGCATCTACGCCAACCTCTACATCTTCAGACTGTTCAAACCGTCCACGCTCCTCGCTGGGTGCCTGCTGCCCTACTGTGGCTACATCATCGGCGGGTTGGTTGGGTTGATGTTCCGCCAGCCGTGGTACCGAGTGAAGACCATCGCCATAGAGACTGGCATACAGAACGTCATGGTGGCCTACCTCATGTTGCAGATGGCGCTGCCGCCACCAGATGGCGACCTTGCCGCTGTCGGCCCTTTAGCTTCCGCGGTTATGACGCCACTTCCGCTCTTTATTTTGGCTATTGGCTATACAATTTATTTGAAATGCACTAAGCAGGATTATGACAAAGTTTCAAAGAGAGATCAAGGTGAGAATGGTGTAGTAGACAAGAGTGAGGGGAAACAGACAGGGGTGGGGGCTGACGGACAGGGGCAGGATGACGCTGGGGTGGGGCTGGTCAATAAGGCGGATCGTGTTAGTGTCAAATAATTGCAGTAGCAGTTTGAAACATCCGATAGGCGGCCACTTGCAGCCTCTCAGCCAGCAATGTGACACACGGTTGCGGCCTAGTTGGCAGTGAATAATCTAATGTCTGTATTACCGGTGACATCCTTCCTAGGCCAAACGAAACTTTTGTTTGTTTGATCGTTTCTTGTTTAACCTCGTATTCGGCCATATTCCAGCTATACGACGGCGGCCTGTAAATAATCGAGTCTGGACCAGACAATCCAGTGACATCATGAACATCGATCTACGCAATTATGATACGATGACATGTATCAACCAAGCCAGCGAGCCTAACCACCCGTTCCCGTTAGTCACCTTTTACGACAAGCATAGTCACCTTTTACGGCAAGCACGGGTCACTGAAGACCTCTTCTACCCCGGATCTTCACGGGTTCGAGGGCTTAACTGAACATGTCAGCTTGTAGGTAATCAGACACCTAGTCTCATGGTCGCAGATACGGCCCGTGGAAGCCCGTCACCGGTAATACAGACGCCAGATAACATCACCCGGGGGATGGAACTGGCTGCGTATCCGTTGGCAATAACCAGACACGTGTCAGTGTTACATTTTCATAATCATGTCCCTAGAAACACAGTAATATCTTCATTTTATGTTAAGAATATCTTCTGCAGACTTTGACATCACGTCATCATTAAATACTTCGGTCGCTTTTTGGAAACAATTGCATAATTATTGCATACGGATATTTGAGCTTCATTAAGGGGTGACTATTCAAACAGTTTGTTATAACCCAAAGGGAGTGGGGATTTAAGTCATAACTGCTGAATGCTTAAGATGTGTTTTCTAAACATCTGAGTGACTGTTGCAGAAAAGACCGGTTGGTTGGATAATATTTTTCATCTATTGTTATGTTTTGGCGTTTCTCGGATTGTGAGGTCATAGCCTGTCAGAGATAAATAGCATGTTAATGGAAGTGTTGTTTTAACTAAAACTACATTAGAGTTATTATTTGGTAGTGAAGACGATCCTCCAGACATCTTCCCTGTGACCACAGTGACACGCGGGACGGGGAAGCCATGTCGTAGTCCGTATGCTATTGACTAGATAGTAGATGTGCAGGTACAAATTAGACTATGTACTCTGGTGTATTCGTCCTTCGTTCTCAGTATAGTATACTTTTACGCCGCTCTTAGCAATATACCTGCAAAATCAAGGTGGGGAACAATTTAACCACTAGGCTAACCACACACACACACACACACACACACACACACACACACGCACGCACGCACGCACGCACGCACGCACGCACGCACGCACCTCATTCGTTCTCAGAGTAAAATGTCGCCGGCGGGGTATTATATTAATTTTATATAACTAAATCTTTTTTCAATACTGGAAAACAACAATATATTTAATTAACTGTCCACTTTAGCAATTGGATATAGCGTTTCTGAATAGTTGCTTTCTACAACTTGTGACGGAACAGTGCATTTCATCGTTGATAGAATGCCTGCCTCCAACTTGCCATAGAAATAAAGTTTCAATAAATAAAATATTTCCCGTTGTGTTTTAGGTTTGTTCGTATTCATCGTATTACATTAAGTCGTACAGACAACGTCTGTGGCAGGAGCTGTCCTTGTCACATCCCAGGACATGAAGCGGTGACAGAAGATTAAACCAAGTTCTTTCATGATCGTATAACAAGCAGGGGGTACAGGTGTTAATGTTTTAAATAAACACCAGCAGGGGGTTAAATCTGTTAATGTTGTAAATATACACCAGCAGGGGGTTAAATCTGTTAATGGTGTACATATACACTTGCAGGGGGTTAAATCTGTTTATGGTGTACATATACACCAGCAGGTGGTTAAATCTGTTTATGGTGTACATATACACCAGCAGGGGGTTAAATCTGTTAATGGTGTATATATACACTTGCAGGGGGTTAAATCTGTTTATGGTATACATATACACCAGCAGGTGGTTAAATCTGTTTATGGTGTACATATACACCAGCAGGTGGTTAAATCTGTTTATGGTGTACATATACACTTGCAGGGGGTTAAATCTGTGAATGTTGTACATATACACTAGAAAGGGGTTAAATCTGTTAATGTTGTACATATACACCAGCAGGGGGTTAAATCGGTTAATGGTGTACATATACACCAGCAGGGGGTTAAATCGGTTAATGTTGTACATATACACCAGCAGGGGGGATAAATCTGTTAATGTTGTACACATACACCAGCAGGGGGTTAAATCGATTAATGTTGTACATATACACCAGCAGGGGTTAAATCGGTTAATGTTGTACATATACACCAGCAGGGGTTAAAATCGGTTAATATTGCTGATATACACTAGCGCATGGTTAAATCTGTTAATGGTGCGCATATACACTTGCAGGGGGTTAAATCTGTGAATGTTGTACATATACACTAGCAGGGGGTTAAATCTGTTAATATTGTACATATACACTAGCGTGGGGTTAAATCGGTTAATGTTGTCCGTATACACCAGCAGGGAATTAAATCTGTTAATGTTGTACATATACACCAGGAGGGTGTTAAATATGTTAATGTTGTACATATACACCAGCAGAGGGTTAAATCTGTTAATATTGTACATATACACTAGGAGGGGGTTTAATCGGTTAATGTTGTACATATACACCAGCAGGGGGTTAAATCTGTTAATGTTGTCCGTTTACACCAGCAGGGGGTTAAATCTGTTAACAACACCAGCAGGGGTTAAATCGGTTAATGTTGTACATATTCACCAGCAGGGGTTAAATCGGTTAATGATGCACTTATACACCAGCAGGGGGGATAAATCTTTGAATGTTGTACATATACACCAGCAGGGGGTAAAATCGGATGATGATGTACATATACACTAGCAGGGGGTTAAATCTGTTAATGTTGTACATATACACCAGGAGGGGGTTAAATCTGTTAAAGTTGTACATATACACTAGCAGGGGGTTAAATCTGTTAATGTTGTACATATACACTAGCGTGGGGTTAAATCGGTTAATGTTGTCCGTATACACCAGCAGGGGATTAAAACCGTTAATTTTGAACATATACACCAGCAGGGGGTTAAATCTGTTAATGTTGTACATATACACCAGCATTGGGTAAAATCTGTTAATAGTGTACATATACACTAGCGTGGGGTTAAATCTGTTAATGTTGTCCGAATACACCAGCAGGGGGTTAAATCTGTTAATGTTGTACTTATACACCAACAGGGGGGATAAATCTTTGAATGTTGTACATATACACCAGCAGGGGGTTAAATCGGATAATGATGTACATATACACCAGCAGGGGGTTAAATCTGTTAATGTTGTACATATACACCAGGAGGGGGTTAAATATGTTAATGTTGTACATATACACCAGCAGGGGGTTAAATCTGTAAATGTTGTACATATACACCAGGAGAGGGTTAAATCTGTTAATATTGTACATATACACCATGAGGGGGTTAAATCTGTTAATGTTGTCCGTTTACACCAGCAGGGGGTTAAATATGTTAATGTTGTACATATACACCAGCAGGGGTTAAATCGGTTAATGTTGTACATATACACCAGCAGGGGTTAAATCGGTTAATGTTGTACATATACACCATGAGGGGGTTAAATCTGTTAATGTTGTACATATACACCAGCAGGGGGTTAAATCTGTTAATGCTGTACATATACACTGGTGGTTGTTGTAATCTGTTAATGTTGCAGATATGCACCATCAAGGATTATAATCTGTTACTGCTGTACGTTCGTACATATACACTTCTGCCTAGAAGTTCATTCCCCTAACACGCGTTGAGAACGCGTGTCACACGCGTGTCACGCATGTGACACGGGAGCTCAACAGGTTGCACACGGGTCAAGAACCCGTAAAACACGCGTGTGTAACGTGTGACCAACGAGTGAGACATGCGTGTAACACGGGACCGGGTTTCAGTTGATTCAAATGAATAGTGAGATAAAACAAAACAATGAGATGTGAATCTTGAGTTAATGAGCGGTCATTGACCTGTGTTCACCAGATCATAAAAAAACATGGTCGGCAGTCTTAATAAGTGCTTATACACTACTGGGGGTTGTAATCTGTTGATGTTGTACATATAAACTAGCATGAGTGAATAAGTGAGTTGGTTTAACGCCGCTTTTAACATTATTTCAGTTATATCACGGCGTGTCAGCTTAATGTGGGGGGAAAGCCCGGAGTGATGCAGGTCTCACACGTTTACCACTTAGGTGAAACCCACGGGCACGGGTATGGTGCTGACAAACCTAGAAACATAATCGGGGCGAACCGGGATTCGAACCCACAACCATGGGTTTCTGGTGTGCCCAAGGGACGCAACTCTGCACAGTGAAACGCGGCGCCTAAGACGACTGGAACTGTGTTCACCAGATAATAAACACATGGTCAGCAGTCTTAATAAGTGTTCGGCTGCTCCAAGTCCAATCATTGTGGCTTGCCGACAGCAGAATTTAGATACGCGTTCATTGCTACAGGAACCCCCGAATTAGCACAATTGTCGCGGGTTGGTAAATGTTCGCAATTAATCCAGTTATTGTGTTGGTAGATTTTCGTTTTAATTGTTGTCTTCATGAGTCATTCTAAGTGACTGCAAATATAACGATGTTCGTTCGAACACAATGATGCTTCAGATGTCACAAGACAGAAGAGTCACCAGTACTAATGTCCTAGTATCTCATGCAGTTACATGTCCCATTTCCCCACACCCCACTTTTTTGTTTCTGTGAGAATTATTAGGAGGAAGTTTAGTTGGGGACTCTAACATTTACCATAAATGGATATTGGAATCGAATATAAACTGCCCATGTTGTCTGACTGTAGATAGAATTTGTGATTATTTTAACAATCAACGGATGTGACCATGTAGACAGTTTGTGGATTGTGATTTTTACAATTGTCCAATGCGCTGAGTGTACCTGCTTATGAGATAGCAACGGTAACAGGTTTTGATTAGCGGAAATTGGTTGTGAATACTTGATACCATGTAGATAAGATACCTTTAGGATTCTTTATTCTTTCGTTTTCTGTGGGTAACCCCTTCACGCTGATGGAAAGGAAGTCATTCAGACAGATCATGCATTCTCCATCGTGGTCTTCTCGCCCCCTGTTCATTGGGAGACAGACAGCAGGGATCGTCTTAGTTTTTTATTAGCTTTTCATTTCTACAGAACTACCAAGAAATATATACTGGACAATGCCCTGACAATGATTATGCGCAAGGTTCCGGGTCGTGATACGATCACTAGAAGTGTCTGCAGTTG